GCAAACAATTTCCATATTATTGCCAAATACTCTACATGGATATGCTAGTAGAGCTGAGCTCAACTCAAGGGATTTTTAAAATCTTTTTAAATACAATATAAATAGTTCCTATCAATCTGAATCTGTCAGTCCTTCAAGGTACAGCAGGCTAGGAAACCAAAGTTATGAATGCTAATACTACTTTTATTATAAGGTTACATTAACAGAATCTTACAAGTTTGAATGCATCTCCCCCCTCCCTCCCTTTATCTTCAAGAGAACTAGGAAAGGTAAAGTCTAAGATGCTTTCTCAAATTACAGTTCTGCCTCAGACTGTCGTCTTGGTTGCGGCTCTTCCTCCTGTTCCTCAAGGTTACTCTTACAGCCCATTACAGAATCCATTTATAGTGAGAAAATATGGTTATTGCAACCCTTTCAATCACTGTTCTTTATTAAGCCAATACTGGGGGGTGGGGACAGAATGGGAATTGCAATCCAACAGAATAGGAGATAACAAGAGGGCTGACATCTTGCGTGTTTGTCAAAATTAGTATTGTACCTGACACACTGATCTTCTTAACCATTTTTTCTGTATTATTGATCACTGTCACTGTAACAGGGATTGGTTCACCATGGTAGAACACCTGGAAGAATTAGATTAGCTTAGCAAAAAGCTTCATCACACAGTAACTTTAATTTTCTACATCTAGTTTTGTGCAGTTGCATGGTCAGAAACAAAACCATTGTGTCTTGTCTATATCTCCTGAATATCAGTGGAAGACTTTATCATATTAGCAAGCCAAGAACACCTCACCTCTTTGCTGAGGCATGCTTTCAAGTGCAATGGCTTCTTGGACAGGAAAAACTGCCAGGTGGTCTCTGCATGAGGCTGGGGCCCTGGTACTTCTGGAGCATATTGGACTTTGCGTATCAGCAGGCGTACAGAATGTCTAAGGGACAGAAATCAGACTGAACCCAAAGCATAAGTAATTAAACTCTAGACCATTATTAGTAATGATGGAAGCCACAAAACCCCAGAGGATGAAGACGGTATCTGGGTAGCAGACAGTGATTGACAGGATCTTTATCGTTCTATAATAAAATATCAGTCACTGTCTGCAGTGTTGTAGGATCTGTGGATACAAGACAGAGCACCCTGAGTTACATGCAAAGTAACAGCAATGTTGCTGATCTTTCTGTCCAGCAGGAAAGGGAACATATCGACTTCCTTCCTTGCTCATACATATTCAAGGCTGTATCTCACATACAGTTCGGGTTGCATACCTTAAAAGAGGTTGAGACGGAAAAGGTGTAGAAAAGGGTAACCAAAACAATAAGGGGGCTAGAACAAGGCCTTTTATTTTATCCAGTATGTTTCCTTTTTACAAATGTCATGTTTCATGTTTTTTCACATTCATCTCCTGAACGGAGATTCTGGGAGTTGAATAAAAAATAAGGTTTATCAACCCGTTGCTCAGCTTTTCCAGTTTCAGTCAAATTCTTTTCAAACTAACAAGATGTTACCTCTTGAGAATCCTTTCTTCCGGATCTTCTGTAGAGAACGCTTTGACCTCAAAATCCACTCCACAGCACTATAGGAAAAGATGGAGTGAGAAACAGATGAAGCAGTAAGTTCTTGTTGCTGAGTATATAAAACATCTGTATATGAAAGAACTCACATTTTGAGACTCAAAAGCTGTCCATCCCAAATTTCAACATAAAACTCATTCTTAATGTTTTCTTCTAAATATATATATGCTATTTTTCTGGTTTTACTTTCTGTATATCTCTCCTACTGTCCCCGCTTTTCCCCTCTTAGAAAAAAAAACCCCAAAGAGAAACTTGTGAAGGTAGTTCACTATTTTCCATATATACCTTATTGGTCGGTGACACAGTTGGGGATCACTGTTTGAGGATTACTGTCCTGCTTTATTCCACCATCATTGTTTTGGAGAACAAGGACAGGTATAGTTCTTTCTCACATACGAACACAGTTGCTCACTCACAACAATACTATTTATTTCTTTGGTTTTGAACTACTTTAATAAATACTGGTGTTCTTTTGAGCCCAATTCAAACATATGCCTCCCCCTTTGGAAAAAGATTGAGAGGAGTATTTGCAACCAGAAGATAAAATAATTGAAGTCTTGTATGGTAGCTTAAATCCTAGATTTTTTCCTTTAGATCTGCAAATGCAGTAGTATTCTTAAGGAAGACTGATCCTTCAGATATTTTTTGTAGAGGTTTGTATTGTGCAATAACTCATGGAGGTTTACAGAAGGTCCAGACAAGATCTAGACATTGTCATTCACACTTTTTCCTAGTAATTCTCTGGATTTTTTTCTTAGCATCAAAAACCTGTTAAGGAGGAAAAGATGGAACTGATGCAATGTCTTTTGAATAGCAGTACTAAGAGCTGTGCATTTAGAAGCACTCTTGTCCTCTGTTTCTTATTCTATATGATCACATCTACTAGAGTTCCCTTGCAAGCAAAGGTCCACCAAAGGGCATCATGTCACATTTCCAGGAATTAGAGATTTCTTCTCTGCTTTGGCAGTGGTTGCACTTTGTGGCCTTCAATATTAGTTAGCTTGTTTCTTAATATAAAACAGTGCAATGCATCCCCTCAATTCTCACCTTCTCAACTTCATGGGGAGCTGGCTGCAGACAGACCGAGCAAGGCAGATAGTCTGGAAACTGTAAGGGAACAAAAAATAATGCACATAAAGCATTCTAATTGCAATGTCCTCCACTGCCACATTGGTATCAATGCTAGCAAACAGTCCTAGGGAACGAAAAAGAAGACCAAGCCCCCTTCACGCCACTTTCCAAAAATGCCTCAGGCCATTTCATTACCAGTGATTTATTACAGAGTCATTTATCATCATCTAGCCATCACTGTGGTGATAAGTCACTAATGAAGACAGGTTTACCTTGCTTGAGTGAGGCCTGGGTGATGCTGTAAGACACTATTAATCAGGAAACAACTTTCAAGGTTCTTTTTTTGCAAATGCTTTTTAAAAACCCAGGTGTTCTTAAACTCAGGACTTATTCTTGAATTATATTTTTATTTGCACCAGCCCAGTATTATTAGACACATAATGCATGAAATGTAGCCTTACGGTAAGACTGCCTTCCCCAAATCTTGTTGGGTTGTAATAGGAATAGTAGTCCAGTTCACCTGGAAGGGATCAGGCTGGGGAAGGCTGCTATAGGAGAAAACAGCTTTTTTGCCCTGGGGTGAATATGTATCAGTGAACCTAGGTTGCATATACCCAGAAACAAAGGAATGCATATACTTAAATTGGCCAAGACAATTCATCATATATCTGCAACCTGAGGAAATGTATTGTAAAAAGCTGTATTCTTTATTCTAGATATGAAGGAGATTGAGTTATTACTATTTTAAAAAGTGGATATTAAAGGAAAATAAAAGTGAATACATATTCTAATTCTACCCTCTAAGCACCCCATATCATAATTGTCAAATTGGGAAAAGAACCAAAAGGAATAATGATGCAGAATACTCACAGTTAACACAAAAGGGTATGCATTTCCCCCCAGTTTATTTATCAGGCTTTCCTGTAAGCTAGTGAGAGGTCCTTGTTTGTCTACTGATGGATAAATCTGTACTCTGTGAAAGTATAGATCCTTTCGAAAAGTCAGGCCCATAATGTCAATATCTTCTTGCCCATAACGAAAAGCACATGTGAGCGTCACATATACTGGGAAAAACATACAAAAAGCGTTACGGACACCAAATGTTAAAATCAGCTACAAATATCACCAGTTATGTAGAAAAGTCTCCACTCATCAGTTTGAAAGTAACCACTTAAAAGCTAAGGTCATGTCCAGCATTCAGCAACCAAAGCTGGACTGCGTTTGCCCATATCAACAAAAGTTGGATGGAAAAAGCCAGTTTCATTTTCTGGCTGTGGTTACTGATTACTTTCTCTTAAGTAAAATGTCAGGATGAGGAGAAGGTGAGGTAGAAGAGAGGATATAATTTGCAATTAGCAGCTCAGCGATAAAGCATATACTTTGCCAGATTCTATCTCCTGGAAAGCTCTGAAAGACCCTTGTTTGAAGCCGCAGAGGGTGGCTGCTACTTCATGTCAATAACAAAGGATGAGTTGGACCAATGGTCCTTTTCAACAAGGAAGCAACATAATTGTATCTGGATGTGTCCACTGAGAAAATTATTTGGAAGCTTCAGCTGGAGTAAATTGCAGGCATCTGCTCAGTAAGAGGGGTTTTTTTTAGATTTTTTTTATCCCACCTTTATATTATTTTTATAAATAACTCAGCAAATATACCTAATTATTATTTTTATAAATAAGGCAGCAAATATACCTAATACTCCCTCCTCCTATTTTCCCCACAACAACAACCCTGTGAGGTGAGTTGGGCTGAGAGAGAGTTACTGGCCCAAAGTAACCCAGCCGGATTTCATGCCTAAGGCCGGACTGGAACTCACAGCCTCTTGCTTTCTAACCTGGTGCCTGAACCACTAGACCAAACTGGCTCTTTCCTGGCAGAATGGAGCGGTATTTGATTATGAGTTAGCATCTGTACTGGCCCACTATTGTCATTTAAATTACTTCATTATGCATTGACCTGTTTTATAAATTAAGTTAAATCTTGATAAGTGAATCAAAATTTGTTGAATCAGCCACAATTGGCTGGTTCACTGATAATGCTGAGACATAAATCATGTTTTTACAAACTACAATGGATGGATAAATACATCAAACTTATCCAAATCAAATATGCCATGTTATGACTTAGCCTGTGTAACTTCAGTTTTTGAGATTGAACTGAACAATTGTAGTTGTTTTGCTTTGAGCCCCAGTTTCATTAAGGAATTTCCAACTTTCATGTGGGAGCAGAATGGGTAAACCTGGCAGTCTGAAGCATTTAGCACTGATATAAGCCTTCCGAATCAGGGGATAAACTCCAGATGACCATTAGATGGCAGCAAAGAGTTTAGAAACACCTGCTAATTCTTTCCTGCCATCTGGTGGCTGTCTGGAGTTTAGCAGTGAGGAGATCTAACTTATTACTGATTACTGTCTAATGAATTACTGATTAAGGTAACATTTAGTTAGGAGGTGAGACAGGCCCCCTCACTCCAGGCCTTTCGGAGGGATTTGCAGACCTGGCTCTGCCATTTGGCTTGGGGCGGGGAGGGAGGATATCAGAAATGGGTTTGGCTGGCCCCTTAGTGGCCTGGTGTGGCCCCTATCGGCCTCTTGGATTTTTTTAGCCTTTTTATCTTTGTAATGTTTGGTTTTTATAACTTTTAATTGTATTTCTGAT